ATATATACGTGGTGACCTGTCATGCGCAGGGGGAAGGGTGGGTTGACAAAATCTGGTTGTCAAAACCTTTTGGTTGTCCAAATTAATCACAATAAAAATGTAATTTAATAAGTATATTGAAATAGGTGATATGTATTACTTCAAAGAATGCTAGACTTTTAATTAATATTTTTATTTCTATTAATTATCGTGATTTTGCTGCAGGTAAACAAATGGTTGGTGAGRGCATGACTTGAATACGGGATCATATCTTCAGGCCGATTCACAAAAACTATCTTTGAGGTATTAAACTCATTTTTACGGCCGTCATCTACAATAAACACAACAAGTTCTGAACTAGTTAAAGCGTTGAGTCTCTGGGTCATTTCCTGTGTCGTTTTTTTTTCCCACACAAACATTTTAACAGAGTGGGTTATTTCAAAAACCTGCCTGACTCCTTATTTCTTCACTGTTTTATCACTTTTTTCACGGACAACTAGAAAGTGGATTTTTTTATTGGTTTAGAGGAAGAAAATGCTAAATTTTCTCTTTGTTTACAATCTTTTTTTATTGCTCCAGCTTTGTTAAAATTTCTTATTTAACCGTCCACCCCATCTCTTTTTTATTTTATTTTATTTTATTGCTCTGCTTGTGGGGGGCACTGGGAGAGGGGGTCTCCAGCGGTTCGGACTTTAAGAACACCCCTGGCTCCTGACAGCGGGGAAAAAAGCGCCATGCTGCGGATCCAGCAGGAGTTATAAAACCACTCCTGTGCAGGAGTGTGTGTGTGTGTGTGTGTGTGTGTTTGTGTGTGTGCGTGAGTGAGTGTGTGGAACAGGAGGGATCTTACCTTTTCAGTGGCTTTCTTATACCTCATGATAGCTTGCTCGATGAGGTTCTGGACTTTAAAATTCCCATCTCCGCACGGAACGACCACTCGCGTTCTCCCGAAACACACCGTCACTTTCATGTCTCCTCCGCCGTGTTAGTTAGTGCATCCAAAGAGAGGAAAGACGCGTCCGAACCGCGATCATTATCCCCTGGTGCTCGCGCGCGCGTGTGTACGTGTATGTGCGGAGGTATAGCAAGTTTTAAAAAAATAAAAAACGAAAAAAGTATCCCCCAGCTGAAGACCCGAGAGAACTGTGTGTGTGCGTGTGTGGTTTCCTGGGAGCAGAAGCCCCGGATCCAGCAGCGGCAGGGCTGGGTGGCGTCCTCCCTGAGCCGTGTTGACTCACTTTACATAAAGTTCCCAACAAAACGAGAAGCCTGTCCACGCACCGCTCCAGCTGACAGACTGACACCAGCGCCACATGTCAGAGCAGGCAGAGAATGTTCCCCAGCAGCAGCCGAGGCTCAGGGCTGATCACTACAAAACTCAGCCCACGACTTGTATGCTTTTAGAGGGAGAAAACTTTGTTTTCTTTGTTTAGGMAATTGTTTTAAACATTTAACTTTATTGTCTAGATTTAAGAAAGGAAGTGTTTTTATTAGAACCAGGGGTGCCATCAAGGGAGGGCGAGGAGGGGGCAGTGTCCCCCACCCCCCACTGTTTTCATTCAAAGCTTTTGCTTGGTGTGCATTTTTTTAATTTCCTCTGGCTATTTACGTTTAGTAGACCCTCGTGGATATAAAACACACAATTGTTTAGCAATTAGAATTTTGTAATTTTAATATAAGGAATAAAACGATTCCCCGATTTGATACTATTGTCGATGTTTTATTTCATGATTACGATTATTTTTTATTTATTTATTTTTTCAACAAAAANATTTGATACTATTGTCGATGTTTTATTTCATGATTACGATTATTTTTTATTTATTTATTTTTTCAACAAAAAATAATTGTAGTCATGTTGTAGCCACGTGTGTTTCTTTTCTTTTAACAGCAGCATTTTTGTCCTTGTATCAAACTGTAACTGTAGTCTTAGTAAGAGAATATAACTTTTTTTTACTTTTTTGTGACCAAAAGATATCAAGTATCAATCTGAATTTGTCTTAAATACATAACTTACTGTTAGATAACAATGKAATTAATACATTCATTTTTATAAATCGTTTCACATTTAAAGCTGTTCGAATCAATTATGAATTGATTATTTGTTACGTCCATTGCTTTTTTGTTTGTTTTTATAAATGTGTATTTAGTAGAGGACAAAGTTCGAGTTGTAGATTGACAGTGCTTTTCTTGTTGATTATTTTTATGTTATATCAACTGTCAATTAAAGAAAATTAAGTAGACATTTGTATATCTGGTGATTCTCTAAGTCCTGTAATTGTCAAATAACCAATGAGACAACAGCATAACCAATTACCTGAAACTCTGTTCTGGCTTTAAGTTTTGGTGTGCCACTGCAGGGTTTTTAGCCAATAATAGGCCAGTGGATGGCATAAATATTTTTAATGTATTTTATTTCAACAGTGCATGTTCCCATACTATGATGACATTTTGTGRTCTGCYTTTGACCAATCACACATGAGAAACATTCAAGTGGTGCAGCGGGCAGCTATTAAAGCACKTTGGGAGCAGTTGGGGGATTCTGTGTCTTGCTCAAGGGCACTAATACATGTGGGCATGATGGGGACTCAAACATGTGACTTTAGGGTCCCAAGTCAGCTGCCCTACCGCTGCACCACAACTACTTTTTCTACTATATAATGGAAGTATAATGGAAGTTTTGGGGCATCAAAATTACTCCTTTTTTATCAATCAATCAATGAAACTAAAGCAACACAATGTTTCAAAGTGCTTCAGATAAAATAAAACCATAGAAGTAAAGCAGCATATAGAAATAAAATACACAAGTTCACATAAAAACAATAAGCTGTGAAAGGATAATACCATACCAACTAACAGGTAAAAATTTAAAAGTTCATATTGTTTATTTTTTTTAGCAGGCTATACTGTTGTACTTACTGTATGACCTAAATAGCATGAATATAAACTGTGTAAACTATTGACCTCCTGCACCATACAATAACAAACATGTCAAAGGTCATACCTTTCAGTGAAGCTGCAGGTCTACGCTTCATCATCTGATGCACAGTGAATATTTGTATAATGAGACACTAACTGGGCTTTTCCAATACATTCTGCAAGATGTAAGGATTTCTGTCAGTGTCCATCTCTCATCATGTATACTGTAGCTTTCATGTTTGTGCTGATGGTTTTTAGTGTTAGTACAACTCTCTTCCCACAGGGCCAGACTTGGTGGCTTCAAGGCTGTAATGTGCAGTATGCTGCCTGAGATGGTTGTGTCCTGAAGCACGGGCAGCCACCTGGCTTCAGAGCAGAAGTCCTGTGTGCTAACACATGTTTTGACTCACAACAGGATGACTGTTGTAGGAAAGGTGTGAAAAGCTGTAGAGCTGAGCTGTTCCAGTTTACATGTAGCTAGCTTCACCTAGTGGTTATTGAGGGCAATGTTCTTCTAATTCAAGAAAGGTTCAAAATAAACGATTTTTATGAAAACATGAATACAACGTTGAGCTATATTTATTGCCCAGCATCAAATGATGAAAAGCAGGCAGGCAATAATGTATTTTTTTTGCTTTTTTGCTTTTTTGTGTGTGTTTTTCTATACAGCAAAATAATTCTGTCTATTAGCAAAATAATTCAAAGATTGCAGGTCATATTTTAATGAAAACTCCATTACATACAGGTACTCATTGAATATACATATACATCCGATCCCTTCTGGAGCTGACCCAATTCATAAAGGCTGCTACGTTGAGCTATCCTTAGAAAACACAAAAATGGCTGCAACTTGAACAGTTTCAAAGTTGTTTTGCCAGAYTTTGGTGTAGCTCTAGCTGAGGGCCATTCACAACACATACTCTAAATACTCCTCATTGCACAATACCTTCACTTCGAAATTCAGCATTAACTCTTGGTATCAGAATTGTTTGTCTGCTAGCAAACTATTTCATGAACCACTGGACTGTATTTAATGAAACWTTCAGGAACTAATCAATYGATGCACAGCCACAATTGATTATATTTGGAATTAATTCAATTTAAAATGACATATAATTGGCATGAGTTAACYCATCAGTTTTACAGATARTGAGCTAAAATTTGATGTTTTAGATGAATCYTTCACAGCACACACTCCAAGCACTWATACYTGTTGGAATATTACATGAGATTGTGCAAAATGATATTTGTCAAAGTTTGACAAATGATTTGTACTGTGTCATTTCTCAACATAAGATGGTTTTAATTAAAGTTTCCTCTGTGGGAACGCAGACACAAGGAAGACAAGTGGTGAAAACTGTAACTACAGTAAATAAATAAGTTAATTAAAACATTATCCCACATCTCAGAGAATGCTTTGGAGCCTAAAAAGTCATGTAACAAGCCTCTATATTCTAATCTGCTCTGTACAAACAAACAAAAATTCCTGCAAGATGAGTTCATTTCCAAATAATAATAACAGGGCTGTGAAATTAATCGAGTTAACTCTGATTAATTTTAGTGCTGCATGGGCATAGATTAAAATTTTTAATCGCTATTAAAATTTACAATCACTTTAATATGGCTGAATATGTAGGTTTGTATATTGCAATGCTCTCAGTGCATTCCAGGTCATGTTTGTAAATGAGAAGTGGTTCTCAAACAGTTTACCTGGATAAATAAAGGATAAATAAATGATATAAAAAAACTCCATGTGTAACACATTATGTACAGTTTTTTTTTGTTGTTGTTGTTGTCTTCTTATGGCTTATTTTTTATTTAACAAATAAATACTATTTAAATTTTAAAAAAWTTGAAGTTTTATGTTAAGTTTAAGATTAATCGTGATTAATCATGATTAATTCACAGCTACCTTGAAATTAAAAGATTAAAAATTTTAATCATTTGACAGCCCTAAATAATAACCAAAAAAAATGTATGAATGGAGGTGAGAAGGTATAATGTATAAATGATGGACGGATAACAGAAAAAAATAATGGGAAAAGGTCCAGAACTGAACTACTTGGTTGTTACAAATGCTTGAGTGAATAACCTTGAAAAGCTCTTWTATAGAGGAGCTCTGCTGCAAACATACACTTTTAGAATAAAGACACCTAAACCAGAAAGACACATTCAAGTGTCGTGTACATGTTTTTTCTCATCCTGCACATTCCCTCTGGTTACTGAACTGTGGGAAAACACACCGTTCTGTCGTACGTTTCCAGACTTGTCCTGCATGGAGAGAGGAGCAGCAATACAAAGCACTGTAAACACCATACGTGTGTGTGCGTATGTGTGCGTGTGTGCGCAACACCAATGTCGGAGAGGTGTTTCTTACACAGCAGGCATGCTTAGACACGACCCTGGCAGGGGAGCGAATCATTCATGACTCAGTCAGCACACTGTTGTGATACAGTTACATCACCACAGGACATGTCCTTTCTTACACACACAAACAAACACACAACCAGCTTCGACCCTTGTTTAGCTTCCTTGCAGTTTTCTGGGAAAGCTTCTAAAAATCAGATCTCAGGTATTCATAAAACTTATCATTTCAGAATGTGTTATTACAAAGTCTTAAGAGGAGCTATCCTTTTTGTAAATGGACTGACAACATCGATAATCAGAAAAAAAGAAGAAAGTGAAGAATTATCATCCAGTGTTTGTTGGATTACAGCCTGCATAAGCTGTAAGAACTTACATGTTGCAGGCAGATCCAAGTTATAATTCAGCGGACAAAGCATAGCTCAGATGTTCATTTTGACAACTTGTCTAAAAGCTTTCAGGCTTGTTGTTTGACCTTCAGAGTGTAGCAAAGAAACCATGTGAGACTGAACGGAAGATGTCACCTCAAAAAGCTGCAGCTTAGTGTTTTGTTCATCCTCATGCTTTGCTCATTTCTTCACCATAGTTGTGTCTATAATTGAAAAGCCCGTTTGTTCATTATGTTTGGCTTTTGCTTTACCGGTATCATCTTCATCTTTTACAGTGCTTGATGTTTGAGGGGAGTATTATGCAAAACCAACTTTTTTGAGCTTTATATCCCATTATAATGTCATTCTCCCAAACACAAAAAAACAACCAGAGTGTTGCAGTGGTGATAGCTATTCAGAGGTGCAAAAACACTTGCTCCTCCTATTTAGCCAAAGCTCCTCCCTGGAGCTCAGCCCCCTTCTAAGATCCTTTGTAAACTGACACTAATGCAAAATATTTAACTTTATTATAATATTAATAATGATAACAATGATTTTTATTTATAACGTACTTTACATTTAAAAAAAATCTCAAAGTAGAACAATCAAATACAATAGCAATAAAACAAGTCGAATGAAATACACATTTCATGTTAAAAAGATAAAAGCAAAACACATTAATTAAAAGGAAATCAATAAGAACACTAAATAAAAAGAAAGATTTCTAGGCCTGTTTTAAAGCGTGCCACAGTCTGTGGAGCCATAAGATGAGGGGTCAGGTATTCCACAGCCAAAGCAAGGCACGTTAATTAAAAGGAAATCAGTAAAAATACTAAATAGAAAAACACGGTGTAAAAAGAAAGGTGTTTAAGGCCAGCTTTGAAGCCTGCCACGGTTTGAGGAGCCCTCAGATGAGGAGGGAGGGTATTCCACAATCGAGGAGCAGCACATGAAAAGGCCCGGTCACCAATAGTGCGAGTCTTGGGAATGTGAAGAAGATTTGTATTTGAGGAGCGGAGGGTGCGTGAGGGAAGAGTG